AACCGGGAGCGGCTCACTGGACCCGCGGGCAGCGGGCACCCGGCGGCGAACGCACGCAGCCGCAACATGACAGGTCCCGGAGAGCCCGGAAGCGGCCGAATCACGTGATATCCCGGCACCGCTGCCTCGCGCCGCTCTAGGCTGAGCGGTGGACACTCAGTGGTGCCCGGGCGGACTGCCTTGCTTTACGGCCAGGGCGTCACCGTGCGACAGTTTCCGTTCTCTTGTCGCTCGCACCCTCAACATGGCGTCGGGCAGCGGGGTAAGTGCTGGTGGCGGTGGACTCGTGCCCGTCGCTTTCTCTTTGGCCCGGGGGTAGGGCCGTGACGGCTGGGGCCGCTCTGGAGGGAGAGGCGGCAGGCAGGGCTGCCCTACTGCGGCCAGGCCGCGCTCGGGGCCTGCTGCCAGGCCACGGTGGGAGGGACTCCTTGGGTGGGGACGTGGTGGCGCCGGGGATGCCCCGGTGTGTGGGGGCACGTGGGGAGGCCCATCCCTGCTTTGCACACCGCTGTGCCCTCTGTGTGGGGGTGGTGGGAGATTTGGGTCGCTTGAGAGGCGCTGATGCTTTCAGGGCTAGAAAGGGGGTGGACCCCACCCTCATGTTCCCTTCCTAGGGCCAGGCTTCCCCCGTGGGAGGCCCTTTTCTAACTAGGCGGCGTGAGGAGATCCGAACCTGCCCCAACTCCTGCGCTGAGGGTGCCTACCCACCTTCAGCCCCCCGGGGGAGGCCAGCCCATCCCAGGGGCCTCTTGGGACTGGGCAGTGGCAGTGCAGGCAGCTCGCTCCTTCTGTTCCCTCTCTTGTCGTGCCCTGTTGCTTCTCAGTTCCTCTGGGAAAGGGTTGCCTGTTTCCCAGTTGGCTGTCATGCTGTCCTGCTGAAGTTCCTGCTTGCTGATATCTGTCCTGCATGGAGAAACCACCCTTTCTGTGACTGTGATTCTGGAGTCTCTGATGACTCCTGTGTAACTTGATTATTTTATTGGTGTTGCTTGGTTCGTGTAGCGTGGCAGCAGTGTCTTTCTGCCACAGGATTTGGTGTTGGGAATGCTGAGATTGGATGAATGAGGTGGATGCCATTGGTGTAGCCTGAATGGGGAAACCAGACTGGTTTAAACACCTCCAGTAATACCCCAGACAGCTGTCAGCACCAGAGGGGCTGCATTTTTCTGCTTTCTTGTCTGATCTTTCCTTCACCTGAAGCCACTTGCTGAGAGAGGTTAAGAGCAGGATGTCTGCCTGGGAGTGAGATGGAGCCTTTGCTTTATTCTCAGCTGCAGGCGGTTGTGTTCCTGTTAGGTTGGACCAGACCTGAGACTCCTGTATTTTGTAGGCTTTGATGCTGATACGGGGCAGATCATTCAATGTCTGTCTCCACAAGGACCAGGAGGTTATGGGGCAGTTCTGGTTTTTAACTGTTGTTACTTATTTCAGAAATTGTCTCTCAAAGCACTTCTTGGATATTTTAGGGTTTGCAGCCACCCCTGCCTCCACCAGACCAATTAAGGAAAGTTCCTTCAGATAATGTCTAGCCAAGATCTTGTTTCGAAGTTGGGTTTAATTTCTTTCTCGGTGCCTGAATGAGGGAGATTAGTAAAAGAGCTGCGAAAGACTCCTTCCCTTTTATTACAACAGGAGAGTGAAGCAGCAAATAAATCGCCTCCTCCCTGGGCTCCCGCCAGCTATGATTTGTGATAATGTGCTGCTATGCAGGAGAGTCTAGATTGTGGAAAATACCCCCAAACGTTAATTTACACTCTGTGATATTTTCTTTTCTTTTGCTCAGTGTGGTTAATAAAACCTGTTATGACATGCTTAAACCACTTAAGAAGCTCTGGGAATAAATGAGAATTTTTCTACGCCTCCCTAAGGCATTTTCATTCCTATCAGTAGTTGTTCGTTTCATTTGAAGGATTGCCAGAGGAGAAAACGTTAAATGACTGTGCTGCTGCTATAGCTTCAAATGGGATTTATTTCCTTTGGATTGTGATTGGATTCTTGATTTGGCTGAGCGGAGATGGCGGTGGGGTGTGTAGGGTTCCTTCTCTCCCAGAGGTGTTTTAAAATATATCTGTCCTTTTTTTAATATGAAACTGAGAGCCTCTCACTGCTGTACCAAGTGAAATGCATCTTTCTAACCAAACGAGAGCTCTCAAGAAAATAAAGAAGTGTCTGAGTTATAAGCCATGACCGTTAGCAGGTGCAGGGGCCTTAACTGCACACGGGACAGACACTGGGAAGAGGCTGTGCTGGTCTGGTGAGAGTAGAGTTGAATGGAAATGGGGTTCTTGTCCAGTCACTTCTGCCCTCAGCATTAGTAACTGCGTAAGAATCCCCCCTAAAAAGAATAGGTTTTATATTCTTCAGTGCCAACTTCACCTGAATTCAGCTTTTCTTCCTGCAACTTATCTGGTTGCTGTCAGTGTAGAGTGCTCTGGGGAGCTGACAAAGGGCCAGTCTGCCTCAGAGGTGTTTCTTCCCTTCCCTGCAGTGTGAAGCTGCAGGAGTGGGACAGCTCACCATGAATTTTGTACAGGTGCTTCCCTGGTGTCTCCACGCCCTTCTTTGACAGATAGGTGTTTTGGAGTTTTTTCTGGTTTGCTTGTACATGTGTCTCGCTTGAAAAACCCGTACGGATTCCAATTTCATAGCAAACAGTGCTTTGATTCCTATAATACACAGACATACTGCTCATCTATTTGAGAGCAGGTATACACAGCCGTCCGTACTCCTGCATTTTAATCAAACTCTTTATAACTTGTGTTGTGTTTCACAGCTTCCTCGTCTGATATTTGCAACTTGGATTTAACTGACTTTTGGAAGAAGTATGTTTAACCTGCTAATGATTGTGCTGTGTTTGTCAGGTGGCACTTCTGAGGTCTGAGATCAATGGGTTTAAATCCCGTTTGTGTATGTTTTTCAAAGCGAAAGCCTGAGTGATCATCTCAGGAGCTCTTAAGATAAACTCACTACTTTTCTCAGAAATCCTTCTAGAAGAAGTAGATATAGTCATGCTGAGTGTTATTATCTTAAGATACATCCATAATTCCTAGATATGAAGACAGAGGACATGGAGATAAAATGTAGTGCCCCTAATTTACTGCTGTAGCCTCACAGGCCAAGTGATTCTACTTCTTTCCCCAGTCTCCCCTCAGAGGTAGTCAAACTGTATAATAAATGTTAATACACTTTGTTTCCTTCTCAGACTAAGAACTTGGACTTCCGCCGAAAGTGGGACAAAGATGAATATGAGAAACTTGCAGAGAAGAGGCTCACAGAAGAGAGAGAAAAGAAAGATGGTGCGTAGTGTACTGACTCCAGGCAAGCTTTGCTCATTTGGCAGTGAGTCACCCAAACCCTTTGAGTTTTAGAGGAAGAGAGCAGCTAGAAGTGAAATCCCAGAGGGAAATAGCAGTAATTCAAAGCTGGCTTGCTCCGATCCTTTTTCCTGTGCTTGCCACTGAATGTGTTTTTTTGACAAAAGTAATTACTGAGAACCTTTGCCTCTGTCTGTGTGTTCTTTGGGGAGGGAGAGGAACAATCAGCCCCTAGAAACAAGGAGATCTCAGAATATGACCCAAGTCAGAGCTGAAGATACCTCACAGATCTACCTGGTTCAAATAGGAACCACGAAGTAGTGAGGAGGAAATTTTTTTAAAAAAGAAGGTGCAATTTCTGCATGAATCAGGTAGTTCCCAGGTTCCCAACAGGACCCTCCTCATCAAGGGCAATGTGAAATCCAGTGCGTCAAGTTTGACCTTTTCTGATAAGTTTGGGTTTTTGCATATATCCTAGGCAAACCAGCTCAGCCCGTCAAAAGGGAACTTCTGCGGCACCGAGACTACAAAGTGGATCTGGAATCGAAGCTGGGGAAAACCATTGTCATCACCAAAACTACCCCGCAGTCAGAGATGGGAGGGTAGGTTGTGGTCTCTTTGGAGTCTCAGGGTTGTGCTGGTGAGATCAGCGGGCTGATGCAGCAGTGAGCCCTTACGGTGCACCAGGTGGTGATTTTCTCCTGTGTTTTGAGCCTGGTGCGGTGGTGCTGCACTGTATTACACCAAAACTGGGTCGTCTGGGGTGATATGTGGAAGAGTTGCAGCAGGCTGAGCCCTTTCTGACATTATTATTATTTGATATCAGTGTTGCTTTGCCCACCTGTACAAACAACTGAGGCAGATCTCTGCTGCCCGCTTGGGTTTTGTTAGCCAGGCAACCTGCTTGCAGTGAGACCCTACCTGCTCTTGATTTGAGTTTCTGCGCACTGAGAATGTGAGAAACATTCAAATACTTGTCCATAGGAACAGTATTTGACCACTGTTTGTGTGGATCCTGTTTGGCCAAATGATCTGAAAGGATTCTTAGTTCATCCTTAGCCACTGAGAGGTTGAAAAGAATACATTAACTTTGTGCCATCGTAAGAGTAAGTCTGTTAGTGTCTCACCATCACAGCCAGCAGTGCCAGGGGGATGCGCAGCCCCGAGCAGCATCCAGGGGTGGAAGTGCAGGCCCTGGCTGGGTTTTTGCCACAGCTCTTAAGGTGGGCAGCAAGTGCTGCTGTATGGAGCAGGGATTTGCTGTTGCAAGGTGATGGGGATGGGAGGACTTATCTTGCAGCCAGGTCAGAGCCTTTAGCAGGCTGCAAGCTGGAAACCTGGGCTGCGTGGCCAGTCCTACCTCGGGGGAGGGCAGCCGAGCCCTGCAGTGTCACAGTGTTCATCCCACCCTGTTGGTTGTGACTGGAAGAGGAAGATGCTGTGGCTGAGGTGTTACAGATCAGCTCGTAATTCAGTTTTTGTCATCTGTCAGAGTGGTGTCAGCGTAAGGGTTGGTACCTCCAGTGTTAACCCGGGCAGCTCTGTCGATCTGGGATGTGCCCTTGCATGCTTCTTTTCACCAGGGTGCTTTGCAATTGAAGCAGCTTCCCTCTTGCCCTGGAGAAAGGAC